ATAAAAATAAATATAAAAAAATTAGAAGTTTATAAAAAATAAAATATTTTAAAAATGTGAAAAAATGTAAAATAAAAAACATTTTCAGTATCGGTTTTGGCCTGACAGTTTTTTTTATTTCGGTTTTGTTTCGGTTTTAAAATTTCCATTTCAGTGCACCTCTAGTTGAAACCTTTGTTGCGTATGGTAAATATTGTGTAATATAAACAGGTGGGTGAGTTTTTGAGACATGACAAGGGTTAGTGTGCAGGAGATAACATAACACAGGACAGAAGGGGGAGTCCAGGCTGCTGTGGGTGTAATATGAAGGGAGAACATAAAGGAGATGGCTGCACACACTATCAGGGTTATTACCTTATAACATGTCCCCAGCTTGGTGCAGAGCTGTCAGCCCATCCACTCAGCCATCACTCCCCCCAAGGCCCCGCACTCTGCACTGATACGACTGCGCTGACCCGCTCTCCTCAATGACACGGCTGCACTGCCCCGCTGTCTGCAATGACCCGTCTGCTCTGCCCCACTCCCCCTCAATGACATGGCTGCCCTGCTCTCCTCCTCTACGGCCCTGAATAGGGAGCAGGACTGCCCGAGGGAACTGAAGCCCAGATGCTAACAGGCCCAGGACCGGTACTGGTCCATGGCCTGGGGGTTGGGGACCCCTGCCCTACTAGTGCGCTGTGAGAGAGGCCAGAGCCATCTTGGGCTGAGTGCTTGGCCTGCTCCTCAACCCTCTTCTTCCCCGTCTGCAGTAGTGTAAGTGGTGGCAAGGATCAGCAGCACTCTGTAGTCTGTCTGCATTACTCTGCAGCAGGGCCGTCTTTAAGGCAGGGCAAAAAGGGCAGGTGCCCCGGGCCCAGTCATTGTTGTGGAGCCCAAAGCAGCTGCCCCTTGACCACTTGTACTGTCAGACTGCAAACCTAGCTCTGACTGTAACTTTTTTTTACTTTTTTTTTATGTGTAACTTTACTTTTTTTTGGGGTGGGGGGGACTTACATTTTCTTTTCCTTTTTTTACTAAACTTTATTGCTATCACATACGGG